GTCAGATATCATCTATACTTGTCCCATCTATGCCTCGTCCACACTGTGCCTCGACCCCACTGTGCTACCGTTTTTTTTATTCTGTTAATTTTAAGTGAAGACGTCTTAATATGTTAAAATACATTTTGAGTTATATTATAATATACTTTATATATAAATATTATATATTTGGTTAATTTATACAAATGTGATATAATTTCAAAAATAAGCTCTACATCTTAATATTTGAATCTATTTTAAAATTACTAAGATTTTAAATTCGTATATGCAAGCACGCATTAAAAATCAATACAGTACATCGTATTAAGTAGTATATGAACTCTTACATAAAATTATTTGACTTTTTCAAAGATGGACACAAACTCTTGATTTTGAAATATTAAAATATGAAGACCGACTTGTATTATTAATTTAATTTAATTAATTAATTAAATTAATTTTCATGCCATCAAGTTTTTATACAACAGATTTTATATATAAAATTTATACGCATTGGATTTTGATAAAATATTAACCAATAATTTAATTCTTCTAGCTTTTAAAAAGTAAAGAATTTTTTAATTTTTTTAAATATAACTTTAATACAGGCACGTAGCCAGAAAATGTTTATTGAAGGGGCCAACATTTTTGGGCCCTTGTATTATTTTCCATAATTTGTTTCTTATGAAAAGCTTGTCAGGGGACTCCCTCCACTTCTCCTTAGACTATATACTAATCTTACAAGTTCAAAATTTTACCATTGGTTGGTTAAAAACAGATTATTTTCGTATAAAGAATACTAATTATTACAGTATTATAAAAAATGGATAGTAGCATATGTGAACATCATTATTATTATCATTATTACGTCTAGAACGTTATCTTTTTCAAATAACATTTTTTATGAATATAAAAATGAAATTACAGCCATAATAATAACTGTATTACCCAATAGTAATCACAAATTAATTATAATTTCAATGTATATAAGGCCTAGCACGTTTTTGATAATTCATAAAAATAATTGAATTTTATATTTGGGGGGGGGCAGGCTTGGGTCACATTAAATCTAATGGGGGCCAGGCCCACCCATATCTACGTGACTGCTTTAAAAATATATGATATAGAAATCATTTTATTGCAATAAAAATAAACTGTTAAAAAGCTTTTTAGATTAAAAAGTTGCATAAATATAGCATTAGAATTTTATGAGTCGTTGAATATTTGTTATAATCATTTTATTAGCATTATTAATTATTATAGCCATAAAAGTATTTATTTAAAATTAATTGAATATATTAAAAGTTTAATATTTTATACATTTTTGTTTATTAATAATTTTAATACATAAAATTTATAATAAATAAATAATTATTGTGATTAATTTATTAAAAAATTGGTGGATTATTCCAAAAACTACATGATCTCCTATTTTCTCATTTATATCCTGATTACAAGTTTTATGTTTACAAGTGTAATATATGAATAAATATATACAGGGTGTAAATCTTTCGAACCATAGTAATATATGAGCGAGTATCCTGGTGAAATGTAAAGTAGGACTTCGTTTTTTTTTTCCAAAATTGAAAGAATTTTGGTATAACCCCCCCGAATTTCTCTAAAATTAAAAATAAATCTTACCGCAATATTTCCCGCAAAATTCTCATACAAATTGAGTGGTCACTCGATTTTTTGTAACTTTTGCGCCCTTCCCTGAACTTTGGGTTCAAAGTTGGAAAAAAATTTCACCTTAGTAAAACCCATCAATTTGTATTGAAATTTTACTGGGAGTCGTGTGATGTAGTTTATTTTTAGTTTAAACAATTAAATAACAAGAAAAACCCACAAATAATGTGATATTATGAGCTCGTTAATATTTATTTAAATGTTCGAAAAATTTTGTTCACTATTAAGTCACTAATTAAGTTGCAAATAATATTAGATGACTTATAATAATAAAACTTATAATATGGTACAGTGATGTACCATATTCTCATTATTGATTAATTTCGGGAAAGAGTAATGTGCCGATTACATCAAAATAATTATTTTTAGTTATCCTATTATAATAAAATTTAAAATATTCATTTCAATATTGTGATTGTTTTATTTTCCCGACCTAAAAAGAAAAAAATGTATAATTTTATAACAATTATAATCGATTTGAATAAATAATAAAAGAAGAAATTAACTCGTGAAATTAAAATAATATCACATTATTTGTGGGTTTTTCTTATTATTTAATCGTTTAAACTAAAAATAAACGACATCATATGACTCCCAGTAAAATTTCAATACAAATTGATGAGTCACACTAAGGTGAAATTTTTTTCTAACTTTGAACCCAAAGTTCAGGGGAGGGCGCAAAAGTTACAAAAAATCGAGTGACCACTCAATTTTTATGAGAATTTTGCGGGAAATATTGCGGTAAGATTTATTTTTAATTTTAGAGAAATTCGGGGGGGTTATACCAAAATTCTTTCAATTTTGAAGAAATAAAAAACGAAGTCCTATTTTACATTTCACCAGGATACTCGCTCATATATTACTATGGTTCGAAAGATTTACACCCTGTATATATAAATAATTATATATTTATAATATATAAATATAAAAAGGGAAATGGTTTTATTTAAAAAAAATGTATTGATCCATATATTTTTCAAAAAGTTATAGCATTATAAAGTTATAAATGTAATATATAAAATCGAGAATTTTAACACAAAAATAGCATATGGTAGCCATTATTATCGTGAAGACAAAATAAGGCTCTACATTTTTTTTTTTTGCATAATAGAGTATATTACATTAGCTTTAATTTAAAGTATATATAAAGATGTCAGAGTTTACGGAACACTTTCATAAGTTAAATTGAAAATGTTAATATTCTATGAAATAGTTGTTATTTTAAATCCCCCTTGTGGACAGGTAAAGGGTCAGATTTATAATAAAAATATACCAAATAATAGGTAAAGACATCAAGTATCTATAAAAAAAATTATATTGATTTGGTCTTTTTTAAAAAAGTTATGACAGTTTTAAGTAAAAAAAATTTCAAAAATTAACAATTTTTAAATTTGTAATTTTTTTGGAGATTTCCCCCATTTACAGAGAACGAGGAAAATTTTTTCAATTTTTGAGGGTAATGTCTTTGACTAGATACGATTTGTGATCTTATGACGTATTGTTGAAATAAATCAGTTCGTTTAGAGCTAAGAAAAAGTGAAAAAAAACACATTATGGTCTAAGAATTCCATCTCGTTAGCATTTGGTGCAATTCTCATAACGACTTTCATTTTTTATGATTTAAAAATAAGGACTTTAAATAAAAATAAAAACTACAAAATGAAAGTTTGCTGAATCTTCAATTACTCACTTTAAATACACTAAAATTAGGACGACCAACCAAAAAAGAAATAATTGACCGAAAAAAAGAAAAATAACAAAAAAGCCACGAGAATCAACATCTGATTATGAACTGACTTTTGTAGTTAGCTCAAGTCAGCGTTCTGTAGCTAATGCTGATATGACAAAAAATCACAGCAATACCAACAAGAGCAAAACAAATTCTCAAAGTTATTACTTCCAAAAAAAAAGGATATTAATGGATATGGCTGTAATTTTACTTGGGTTTCTAAATTCTTCGAGTATATTCATTAGGCTTTTTCTATGTATAGAATCATAAGCTTTTTAAAGTCTACAAATAATATGTATACATCCTTATTATATTCTTACATTTTTTGGAGGATTTGTCTTATCACCAAAATCTGATCCGTTGTAGATTCTTCCTGATAGTCTCCTAGTAAAGTTTCTACTATGGACCTTACTCTGTCGAGTATACAATATGCTAGGAATTTTTTAGGTATCTTGTAATGCTACACTATTATAATTACTAAATTATTTTGGATCATTTTTTCTTTTGTGAATAGGACAAATTAATGCAGTATTCCAGTCCTTCGGAAGTCTGTCTTCATGTCAAATACTCTATAATGCTATGTATTTTATTCATTGATCCCTCATCCAGATTTTTTAGTACTTCTCCTAGGATTCCGACCTTCTCAGAAATTTTATAGTTTTTTAAAATGTTAAGTTGTTGTAATATTTACTCTTTACTTGGGCCAGACAGTCAGTATCATTAGGTTCCGTCGGCATCCATGCTAATGTTTCGACTGAGTTTTCACAATTAAGTAATAATCCAAAATACTGTCTCTATTTTCCAAATACTTTGTCTTGTTCTGTCACTTGAGTAATTAAAATCAATAAAATGTTTATAATTTACAATTGCAGCAATATCTCATCTTTCTCAATTAAATACAATTAATAATTTCTAAAGATAGTGATTTTAAGTTTTATTATTAATGAATATTAATCATATTTATTAATAAATATTAATATTAATCATTATTTCTCTAAATATAAGAAATTAGTAAAATAAAAACATAACTTAGCTATTCATTTTTCATGATAATTTTAAATAAATTACACAGATTCATTGTTTCTGATATATATATGTTTAATTCATCAGTCCTTAAAGAATTAATACAATGATTTGTCAACCTAATCTTTGGTACAAAACTTGTTATACGTAAATAAAAATAAAAACACTCAAAAAATTTAAAATAAAAAATTTTTTCATTTTTTCTTAAATGTATACACCCAATCAATATGAAAAATAAATAAAAAATAAACAATTCAACAACATAAATCTAACAGAAGTACAAAAAATAATAAATAAAATAAAAATAAGCAATGTCACTATTACACTTATTCTTACAATAAAAATAATACACTACATGTTTTGTTACAGGTTGGGTTATTAATAATACATAAGCCTTAATAACAAATAATTTAAAACTGTATAAGGAACATTAAGAAGCTAACTTAATATTTATTATTCACTTATAATACACTCTGAAAAAAATTCAGTTATAAGGAAAAATATATTCATTATATATTAAATTAGACAGATAAATTCGAATCATTTAAACCTTAATTGAAAAAATAATCTGTTGTTTTATGAACTTTTATTTACAATTAAAAATATTTAAAAACACTTTATATTTAATAATACTTGATAATATTAAATTATGATTTATATTGGTAATTTTAGATGAAAAAACCATTTCAAAATATTGTTTGTAGTCAATTAATATAATTAAATACAACACCAACAGATTCACTATTCCTTATTATGGAATGAATTGTTAATATTCATTTTATAAATGAACATTTTTAACATGATGAACTCTTTAACTCGCCTAAATCAGCAAGAAGTCGATGGTTAATACTTGGACTTGGACTATTGGTTTTGTTGTTAACCTGATATTGTTCTTTTAAATGACTTAAAGCATTTAATAACCTGTTGTTGGCTGCATCCAATGCAGCAATTTGATGTTCTTGTGCCTCAATAACTCGTTGTTTATGTGTTAAAGTATCAGATATTTTACGCTGTTCTCGTCTAAGTTCATCTTCTACAGACATTAATCTAAAAGAAATAATTATGTAATATTGTAGTTTGATATTTTAATATAATAATTATATTAATAAAAATTAATACTAACCTTGCAATTATATTTTTCATATTATCCGGTTCATTATCAATTATTTCTGGCGAGTTTGGTTCAGATTGTAGTTGACTATTTGCTTGCTCTAACTTTAATTTAAGTATCTGTATATTGGTCTGCAGCCGTTCAATTTCTTTCTGGTACTAAATAAATAGAAACATTTTTCACTAGAAGAAAAATACTAATAAATAAAAAATATTATATTATTTTAGTTACATTTAATTTATCAACAGTTCGATTTGTTTTTAAATTATTTGTAATATTTTGGTTTCTTGTATCATCATCTTCAGAAGAATCTTCTGACATTCCACGACTGGAATCTAAAGAAACACGTCTTCTAAGTGGCTTTTCAATTGGACTTACTATTTTAGCATCTAAATTGCAAGTATTAATTATTAACTTATTAATTAAGTTAAATTAATTTTTAAAATATCATAATTTGGCATGAAATTATGAAAATTCATAAATTTGATATTACTTACCAGGTACACATTTCAAGTTGGTATTAATACCGTTAACTTTATTAGGAGACCATTTCCAGGCCATAGACCTAGCTGTACCACCATTACATTGAGGATTGGTTCTTGGGGCACGATAAGGTGGCAAAAATCTTGGAGCAACTTGGGAGATTTTATCAGTAGTTGGTATGTTTTCATCATCTGATGAACTACATGATCGAGGTCTTTGTTTTCTCTGATGATGGTGGTGATGATGATGATGATGGTGGTGTTGATAAACTGGGTTAACAAATGCTAAAGGAGGTAGGGCGGGATTACTATTAGCTACTGGTGGTTTATTGTTGTTGGTCAAATCAACTGGACTTGAACTCTGACTATATGCAGCAAAACTTTGATACCCTGATGATGCCACATTTGACAGAGTAGAAATTGACATTTGGCTTCCTTTTTGTTGCTGATCCATTTCAACATCTGAATTATGACCATTATTTTGATGATGTGATGAATAACCATTATAATTTGTTAAAGGCTCATCATACTTCATTTTAGGACATAACTGTAAATTTGGAGAGCTTGGATTTGACGAAAAGAATGCATTACGAGGTAATGTTGAAGCTCGCGGGGTATTAGTCAATGAGCGTTTTTCACATAATAGAGTTGAACTACCCACTAAATTATTAGTGCTATTTAAAGAAGTTCCTTGTGTTGAACCGTATAATTTTTGATGATCTTTAGAAGTTGGATCATTATACCTTTATCAAAAAAATTTTTTTTACTATTGTAATTTCAAAAAGAAAAATTCTAGTATAATATGTATACCTGAATATATTTTGATGAACTACTGGTTGATAGGTATTATTTTGTTCTAATGGTTGATTTTCAATACAATTTAAAGGTGTTCTTCCACTAGGTGGCTGAGCTAAAGCTATTTGCACTCTTTCCAGTATTTTATGCAGCCTATCTACCTCTTGCAAACGTACAGGAGAAATTTTTTCAACACACTCAAGGAGTAATGTATGAAGTATACTGAGCTGTTTACCAAGATCAATATGTCCATCAAATTCTGTTGAATGATCTTGCGGTGTAGAGTAACCATTTGGTATAGGACTCTAAAAAAATAAAAATATAAAATATACTTAAGTGATTTAATAAAATAACAATATTTTACAAATATTTTTACAGAAATTATTTTCAAGAAGGATTTCATTGAAGCAGCTTCACGTTCTAAAAAATCATTCATAAATTCCATAAAGTTCTCCTTTCCTTGAAATCTCGTAAAATTAGCTAATGTTTGCAAAGTCTTTGCAACAAGAGTTAAATTTCTTGCTGCCTTTTCATTAGGGTATTCTAAAATAAAAATTAAAATATTAGCTTGATACTTTTTGTTAGATAGAAATATTTAGTATTAAATTAAATAAATACCATGAGTAATATTAAATAAACTAGGTGACAGAATGGCTGGACACAAGAACCTTAAGAATATACAAGCTGATATCAAATTATCACTTATGTCGTGACGTCCAGTTTGATTCATACGTTCCCTGAACCTTGTGAAGCATTCACGAAGTTCACTAAACGATAAAAAAATGATTTTTAATCTGTTATAAAAGTATTAGTATGTTTTATGTCAGGCTTGTATTTAGAATTTTTTTCATAATTTTTTTTAAAAATACATTCTATTATTTTTGCTTAAAATCATTCTAAAAGTAACATTTTCTGTCAAAAATTTGCCAGTTGCTTATATTTTAGGGTGATTAATTATCATAGAGCTCTTCATATATACATTCCTGATTATATATATATATTTAATACTTACAATGGAAATGAAGTGTGTGAGGATAATATTCTATTCCATGTAGTTTCAACAGCGTGTCTTAAATTTGCTTGCTGCTTAACTAAGTTTGATGAACTACCAGCTTTTAAAGGATCAACTTCACAATCAAAACCCGCTTGTAATACATTAGACACAAGTTCTCCAAGAGTTTCATGCAAATATTTCTCTCCAGTTAGTTTTAAATATGCTTCCATAGCTTTAGTAGCTAATGAATTTCCTCTGAATGTTAATCGATCATCTTCAACTTTTTCAATATCCATCATTACTATGTCAGATAAAAAATCTTTAGCTAAATTTTGTTTTTGCATAACATGAACCAAAGCAGTTGCAATATCTTCTTTAGCCTTGACTCCAACAACAGGTTCCAAAATTTCACAGATTGTTTTATAATCAGTACACAAATACTAATAAATTAAAACAAAATATTTTCTTAAAATAAAATTATAACTTAATAAAACATTTGTTTACTAAAAAAAAAAAATACCTGTAAGAATTCTTGATAAATTTGAACAGGTAAGATATCAACACTTTGAAATCGGCATTTTACTCTTAAAGATGGTGGATCCTTTAAGTTTTTTTCAGTTACCACCGGATACCATTTTTCAGTAAGAAATCTCGAAGTAACATCATGAACTGGTATACTGACGGTACCTAAAAAATTAGAAGGAAAAAGGTTACATGTGATACATTCAAAAACTTAAACGTATTTAATTAAAAATATTTTAAAACGTACCAACTAAGAAACTCTTGTCTTTCTTTTTTTTTCTTTCTCCTTCTCTATATAAATGTATGTTTATTACATTCACTTGAGGCAAACTACTAAAGTCGAAATGTTCTCCCCAAAAGCACAACTCAGATTTTTGTTTAGACGAAGTCCGTGCAAATAGGGTTTTATCCAAGCACAGTTCGCAGAAGTATTTCTTCTTATTTACTAATCCTTTGGCTTCTAATATCCAAATTTTAAGGGAATTTTCTGTACGGCGAATGTGTTCTTGATCAGGTTGTACTGACTTCCTCAAACTGTTAAAAATGCAAATAATATATATAAACTTTTGTAAAACGTAATTAATGTATTTGATTTATTCTTTTAAGAACTTTCTTTCTTTCATACAATCTTAGTAATTAATATACATGTAAACAACTGACCTGTACACCCATTTGTCACGTTCTTCAGCAGTTCGACATGAAAAGTACCGAGTGTTTCCGGCCGGCAAAGTAACTTGGAAACAGTTCTCTCTGCCCAAAACCGACGGATGCAACGGTTTTATTTCGACACAGCTGCCGTTACTTAGGTCTAATGATTGCATGATACTCTGTGATTGACTTGACAACAAAGATTCGTGTGAACGAGAAGTTCTCAATCGCGGACCAATGGGACTAGCATTTCTAAAAAGAAAAAATTGTTTGATATTAATAGGTTTTTTTTTTTTTTGATATTGGTACAAACCCTTCGTTTTCTAGAGCTTTTTTCCTTTCTAACTTGGTCACGCTCTTGGTCCTCTTTAACGGGTTTGCTCGAAATGAACGTTTGGAGAAGAAATTCTAGAAAAAAATATATAAATTAATAAATAATCTATGATAAATCACGACTAAAATAAAGTTCATACGCCAGTAATTGAAATCACTTAAATAAATAAAATATATTAAAAAGGATGAAAAAAAAAACTGTGTTAGATTATAATATACATTTAGTTTAAGATATTAAATTTGTTTAAATTTTAAATGCCATGAATTGTGAAAGTTTATCAATACGAGTTTCTCGTTATTTACTTTGAACAAATATATAATTTCTACTTGGAAACTAATTTGCAGTGTTTGTTTTTTTGGATGACTTTAACTGTGTTTATCGATTGACCCATCTATTAGGCGTCACGGGAATTGTATTTGAATAGATCGATAAAATAATATTCCACGTCACATAATTAGTCTAATGAATTCACAAAAAACCACTAACAATTCAATAACTAGGTGGTTCATAAATCAATTTACATTTAGTAAAAAGTTTATAGAATATCAAATATGAGTCATAATAAAACAATCAATTTGATTTTCGATTATTTAATTTATAAAATCATAATCCACTAGATAATATGAATTAAAAATAAATATTTCAATGCATTACAATAGTTTTTCAAAAATTAAATCCTTTAAAAACCAATCAATAAAATCGAACACATTGAAAATTTAACGATTCCAGATAATTTCATTGAAAAACATCTAGAATTTGTATTTTTTGTCTTATCAGAAAAGTATTGTGCTTTATTATATACGGTTGCAATATACAGATGCAATTTTTTATATAATTCCTTATGTTTTAACGATTCCAACAATGGTAATTATCAAACTGTCAACCATGCCCGATGTCATTAAAACATTTAATCATCGCGACATTTTAGTTGTTTTATACCAACAGAATCGATAATGAAACTTAAAAAAATACGCCTCGTTTTGAAATTTTAATTTAAAAAATTATTGTCATTAATCTATTTTGTTGAAGTGTTCAGGTCCAAAAAACTCAACACGATATTAACACTATTTTTTTTTTTCATATAACAAGCTTTTTTCGGATTTAACTAAATAACCGAACGAAGATTTTTGTGCACATGGAACATGTTATACTGATACAAATCTAGTGCTGGACACACTAGTATAGGTTTCTATGGGATCATTAGTGGAATTGTCAAACGAATGGATGTGGTGACATTGAATTTTCACAATTAATTATACTTGCAGCAATGATCGCCAGGAGGTTTTAAATAAAATATAAAACGGCTCTAACGGCTCTTCTTAGAAAGTAATTATAAATTATTCAGGCCGTTCACGTACACAGTCCATACTTTTAATACATGCAGACGGCGTTCAAGAACAAAACAAGGAAAAAATATTATTTCTATCGATTCAACAATAATATAACAATACTTAATACGGACAATTTCCATTTAAACAGATCCTCAACACAATATTCAGTCTGTTTAAGTATATTTTATAGTTTATGTGCGTTAACCAATTACTGTTTTTATTGTGGTGATAAAACATCGGTTCGTGTTACTGGTTGCTCTTCCGCCAACCGAGACAATTGGTGTACATCCGTTTACATAAACCACACGACTTCCTATAAGCCTGCGGCGGCAACACGATTTCAAAATAGTCAAATGGTCAGTAATAATATTATTATTATTGTTGTATATTGGTGTGGCCCGAACCGTTTAAACAAAAGAAATAATAATTCATATTGTTTATGGAAGTAGCTAAAATATTTACTAAAACGTGGAATTGTATTAGCGAGTTCATAGAAATCAGTAAAAAAAATACTCGACTACTATGGGCATGCGACAACAATAAACAGCTAGTTTTTTGTATGGAAACTTTAAGGTCGTTTTTTTTTTTTTTTTTAATGGCAAACATTTCAGCATACGATATTCCCAGCAGACACATATTTCAGTAAAAAACAAAATATTATTTTTTACTTATTACCCTTTAGCCGACGATGACTGATGTTAAAAATGAATTTTAAAAGTACTCACCACAATCCTCGAGGGCGTTAGTTCCAATGATCTGTTATTGTTGCCCAGCACGGGTGTGGAAGGGGCACTTCCTCTGCGACAAGCTTTTTCGTACGACGTGTCTGTAACAAACACAACATGCCATTTATTTATTTGTCAGAATCGCCACTGTGTTATTATTAATATTATGACATGTACATAATGAGCGCGCGGCAAACTTATCGATGAAGGGGCGAACCGTCGGACGGGCGAAAGCCGAATGTGCGACTAACGAAGAAACATTATTATCGATAATAGAAAGCGAATGATGTGCTAAAAAGTAAAAAACTCTCAAAGACCACCTGATCACGCATAACGCCGCGCTGCAGTGATTTCTCCCGCTATAGGCTGCACAAAGTAGGCGTTGTCCGTTTTGACAACAGTCGTCAGTCACCGCAATTTGGGTTGTATAACAAACGCCGCAAGTGTACAACGCATCTCCGAGTATTATCTCAAGAAGACTCCGCAAGTATATAATAAAAAACGTTCAACGAGTTGGTTTTGTATTATTGTTGCAGACCGCAGAATAGTGTGTAACCAAAGTCGCGTAGGCAACATAGTAAAAATAATAATAGGAAATAGTAATTATCGTCGCGGTCTGGCCTATTGTAACATATCCGTCGTCGGAGTCGATGAAGGGCGACAAATCAATGGGAAAAAAAAACGGCCGGACTGCGGTGGCGTCGCGTCGGTGGACCCGGAGGAATTTCGGACAATCGACGGAGATAACATTATTTCGATATCATAACAATAACAAGCGGTCGAGGCGTCATTGAACTGTGCGTTGGTCGAATCAAGTGTTACCAAGACACCGGTGGAGTTGTAATATTTCTAATTAACATTAGCTCGATGACAATTGTACGACTGCTATTGGCCAGTCCTAATGCTAGTGTTCGAAATCAATTTATTCGATAGTTGTTATTTCTATGGCGGCAAAAGTGATCTTCTACGTTAAGCACAAATTGATTAAGTGTAGTACTTCACAACTATAAGCCGCATTTACATAATATTATGTACGCCACGTTTGACGTTAAGAATGGACGTCTGAGCTAATGCGATAACACTTTCGTTAAGCCACGGGCGACTATTGAAAATCATCGGTTTGCCAAAAATATAGACTGAAGTACAAAAAGCAAACCGTATAATAATAATTATATTCGTGTTTATACTTATTGGCCGCATTAGGGGGAACCCTTTGTTATATTTCGCAATCCGTACCGGTTTTGTAAACATAAGCAGTTTTACTGTATAAAAAAAAAAAACTGGACCTTGACACTCGATCGTTAATCCTTCGTATTATGAAAGAAAAACTACCGTGCAGTGGCACATGTCCGTTTAACAATACAAACTCCAGAACGGTTTGATTTTCCAACGAGGGACGGTACAAAATCGGTTTGATTAACGTCTAGGTGTAGACTACAGCTGTTTACACTGTACCACGCGGAACTAGGGCGTTACCAAAGAAACTGAGCCAGCTCGTTAAAGTTACTTCATACAGCAGAGGATAAATACACACACACACACACACATTAATGAAACAAAATCGTATATATATATATCAACTACAGTAAAATACTTTGTCGTTGTACACAGAAAATCTACAGTTATGTTGTCGTGATTAGAGACTACAATAGTATTGATAAAGTATTAATTAATTCTCATTAGCCCAATAAAAAGATCCATTATTAGTACACATTCTCTCCAATAATTAAGTTTTTTGTTTAACGAAAACTCTCGTCCGGTAGTTGGAGATTAAAAATGAACATTATTCATAGATCCATAAATAATGTTCATTTTTTATATATTGTTAATTTTTTATCATAGAGTTTTGAATTTTTTTTAACACAGGATAGTGTTTTTTTGTTAATTGTTTTTATTTGCTAAGGTAGTCAATTTTATTATGTACAACAGAGTTTGTGAATGTCAAGGATGAGTCGGCCGGGAATAGTCATTCTTTCGGAACAGGAACAAGAACTTCCTGAGTATAAAACAAAAATGGCTGACGTCGATAACATGGTAACTGGGATCCCTTCATTGTGCTCGACCACCAAACCGTACACTTGTACGCATTATAATATTACAATCGAGTGGTTTTTACGCAGTACAATTAAATGCATTATTAACCCGAGTTTTTAGAATGTGCACGTGTAGTAAACAGGAAACTGCCCGAAAACATCAATCTCAAGTTATAAAATTAAGCTCTTGCAGGTAGTGCACATTAGGTACGTTAAAACTGCAGCAGTGAATGTGTAAGCGAGAAGACCAATAGATTCAAGTCTGATACTTTTTTCAAGTATCTCTAAACCGGTTCTCTACCATAATCTCATTTCACAAGATGTGTTACTCTATACGAAAACCAGTATCGGACATTTCAGGTACAATGCAAACGATGTACAGTCGATTGTTACTAGAATATCAAAAAGTAATGAACTTGACTGTAGAGACAAATGAAATCTCATCGCGACTTGGCGGACTCGTGTGTGTAAACGGACGGGGCCAGTAGTTATTAAATTTCAAACAGGAAAAAGGGAACAACAACATACGCGGCGGTGACAAACTGGGGAGAAACGGCTGTCGTTTTCGAAACTAGTTTGAGCGTTTTCATTAAACACATGCGGGAAAGTTAATAACAAGAACAAGACTCGGTAGTGACAGTAAGTAGTGGGTACGCGGAAGACGGCGGAACGAAACGTCGGAAATAGGACTGAAACCCGTTTAGAGGCTGGAGTGCAAATAGAAACAGACGTTATCCGGCTAAGATTCATTTGTCTCGCATCCAAAGGCGCTGTCAGTCTCGACAATTACACTCCATGCAAACAGGAATTTAAAAAAAAAAAAATGCCTTATTGTTTTGAATATCTGTTGAACACCCAAGACAAGTTTTTGATCGTCTCATAATTCAACACACTTGACAATAAACGTTAAGCTTTCTAAGGGCACGAAATACACTTAACGGACGTTTGCACGCTCGCTCAGCAATAATAATTACGGAGAACGCAAATCGTCAACGATATTAAGAATAAACAAAATTCAAATATTGCTAGTCATCAGTTTTTTACCAGGCGATTCAGCTTAAATCAGACACTTGGTTTAAAAAACCGTCCGGATGATTCTGAGAAACTCGATTACGAAGCCCCGGCAAATACAAAACGTCAACGACAGCAGCGGTGGGCATGACGTCATGGGTCGAGTCGTTCCCATTGTCTGCGAGGCATTGGTATCAGATGATGTAATTATAAAACAGACTCTTAAGATGGTTCTTAAGGCTTTACGGATGACACATTTGGAAAATAAATCCACACGAGGTGCAGAATAAGTATGAAATAAATTGTTTTTCAGGGCTAACATTTATTTGGTGTTTTTGAGAACACTCAGAACGTAAAACGCTTGAAAAACGACTAAAATCTCCGAGATGATTTATTACTTGTAATACTGTGACCCTTTTCTGTTATCGTGTTTACCTTCAGTCAACGTCACAAGGGGAGAAATGTCTACACGTAATAGTTTATCACTCGGGTGTGTCGGCGAGACTCTTTTAGACCACCGCCGTAAACTAACTCTCAAGTCCAACTGCTCTTGGGCCTGCAGAGATAGTATCGAATAAACTACAGCAGCTGTCGCAATTGGACGGCCAGAGACTAAACTCAAAGAAAAAAAGGGGTTTTAACAGGAGTCGACCAAAAATCATATGAAATACCGTGTGTCGGCCTGAATTCCCGTGTTGCGTAAACGACTTTTGTTTACGGGCTGTCGAACTGGCTCATTATTATTATTATTATTATTATTATTATAATAATACAAGAAACAACAATACTGACACAAGAGTAACTGAAAATGGCTGGCTCGCGTTCTATTGAATTTTTGCACCGGTTACAATGTTATGTGTGTTTGTGGAATGAAAAACGAGTGGTATATTTTTAATGCAATATTTTGTGAAAACAAAAAACACGACGAAAACGAAGGCGACAGCGGAGAATAATAAGAAATCGAACACAAAAGTATTGTACACCTATTATGAGTTTGTAACACACCCCGGGAAAATGTACACGTCGTCGTATTATTACGTCAAGACAAAAATATTACTTGTTTAACGTGCAGCTTAGTTCAATAGTGTTAAACACCCTCCGGTCTTATCGAACGTTAATTGATAACCGAAAAATATTTCTGCCCGAGATTACGAAAACTGCACGCCAACTTTGGCGCATATTAAAATTAGTAATTGCCTATTTGCATTTTGACAATGATAAATTTACAGTGTTCCTGTAATCCGAGGTCAACTCATTCACAGCTATCCAACCCGATGGAATGCGCCAGGGACACTACTAATTACCTAAGGCGGCGTACAAATAGTGTTGTGTATCATAAATCGTTCGACGCTGCCTTCTTTTTACCCTCGAAAACAAAAACGAATTTCACCGCCTGAAATCGGTCACGACTTACAATTTGTTCGTATATCACATGGTCGCGTTACAAATGTAATGCGATCACTGAGTTTTTTAACTCATTACTAAACGCATGACCGGCTCAGGTCACGTTTAAGAGCAGCAACAGCATCAACCGCAGACGTAACTTTTTTTTCGTTTTTTATTTAGCCAACGGGCGTAAAAACATTGTAATCGATTCTTGTAGAAAATAGCCGATTTCCCCTCCGCTCTGGAGGAAAGCGACGCGTTTGTTTACTGCGCAAATTTATAACGCGTTATGTAACTCTCGGTTACCGCTTTGTGACGTCACTTTTGGTTGGCACTAGTAACGATAATCAAAATAATAATAGCAACAAAGAGGGGAATAAATTGTCGCCACGACGGACAGGTGTAATTTTGAAACCTGCGGGCGATTGTGTACTACACCGTGCGGAGATAGGTACGCGCGCACGCACTGCCGCCGTCGCCATAGTCAAACGAAACAAGGCCCGCCGACGCTGAAACAAATAATCACAATAACGAGCAATAAAGTACAACTCCGCGGGTCACATAAAACGACGCTTTACGGAGCAGTACAGTCACTACGCAGCCCAACATTTCAGAAGATCTGCAGCAGAACGATGGTAAGGAAACGGAGAAAGAAAAAATCTAGTGAATAG